CTAATTTCCCTCTCTTTGTTTTGTGTATGATGAATGGGAAATAGGATAGAAAATCCTTTTTTGGCACTTTCATAAAGAAATATCATTATGAGATGCAACATTTATACAGTATGAGTGTCGAATATATTATGTACATTAAATTCCTTGTCCCTCAACTCTAATCAAAATATGGAAAACTTGTTTCCTCCATCAAGATTACTTCAAACTTATTTCCCATCCAAATTTTCTCTCGAACCAAAATCATCCAAATAACAATGCAAAATAGGAACCTAAAAAATGTAGACCCACAGTATTTATTTTTATCGTTAAACGAACCTAAAAATTAATTACGCAAAACACGTAAGAATTTCAGCTTATGGCAGGATATATATATTTTGGGTTCCAATTCACGAGTGTGTGGATGACGACCAACCCCAATGCCATGTTGCTCTCTGTTCAGGTTAAACATTTCTAAATCCACCCCCCGCCCCACCGTTCTCCCTCCTTTCAAGATCTACTCATCGCCAGAGCAAGAAAACACATCACACAAATCTAATTGAAGAAAAGAAATTAATGAAAACAAGTCACAGGAAAAATATGTAAATTTTACCTTAATTTGAGGCTAGGGGTAGGGGCAAGATCAATCGGTCGCGCCACAGTTTTGACAGGCGGCGGAGGGGCGGACATGCGTTGGAGGTGGAAGGGCGTCGAGAATTTGGAAGTCGACCGGTGTTGAAAATGTCTTCTGCAGAGGCTGGGGGGAGTGGGTTTAGGGGGAGAAAGGAAATTGAAGGTTGGGAAACGGAAACAATGAGAGAGAGAGAGAGAGGTTGAAGATGGGCGTTTTCCGTGTTTTATAAAAGTTGCGTGTTTTGGACCGAAAACATTCAAAACGTGGTTTTGACTGTTTTCTGTTTTCAGTACAAATTTTTTTTTTTTTTTCGAAAACTTATTTTCAAAAATAACAAAGAGAATGCGTTTTCAATATTTTGGAAAATCGAAAACAGAAAACGGTCTGAAAACAACAAAGAGAACGGGGCCTAAGCTCCTTAACAAAAAATATTCTCGTTAGACTCGTTCCTTGTGTTTAACTATAGTAAAGTACATTCGATACGGACCAAGATCGATTAAAATTTTTATGTCAATACATCCATAAATCGTGTTGCAAGTACAGCATTCCGTGAGGTAAAAGGAGATTAAGACTGACCAACCTTGTCAAATTGTCTTGGTTATTAGAAATCCCAATTGTTGTCTCAGTTCAAGGGCTTTGAACCATTTCTAAAGCATCATTTTGAACCTAGACGAAAAGGCAAAATGTGGGCCAATTTTTTCACCACCGCCCTTAACAATCTNTATTTGGTATCCTACTTCATCAACAACTCTATTAGGAGGGTTTGTACATCATGTAGATTATTAGATCTATTGTAATTTTTCTCTCTTCTCCATTATTCTTGAGTCAATAAAATCTCTTAATTCATCTATCATATTCTTGTCTTTATTATCCTTTTACTTGATCATATACTTCATTATTATCTATCATATAACTTCAACATGTCAATCCGATGGTTTGTTTCACAACAATTGGTATCTGAGCAATTCTAGTATATTAGTTGTTTTACAACAAAATACATAGAGATTGCACACAGACCAAAATAAACACGACAATTTTATAAACATTATCTGATATATCAAAAATAAAATCATGTTCTTTTAAATCTAGATGTACAAACACGATTCTAAACATTCATTATTAAGGATATGAATTGCCTATTGCAGATAAAAAACAAAAAACTTGGTTCCACATTATCCCATTATTCAAAATCCAACACTTGTATTTACCTAAAATAATTCAAACACTGGTATTTATATCCCATTGTTTACCAGTTCTTTTGATAAAATAATAGACAGACCGCCTCAATTGAGACCTATAACTTTTTAATTTTCTATTGGTTCGCTTGAATCCTAAACATAACAACTCAAATTGAAAACATGTTAAATGTATCTTAATAAACATATTCACAAAATGGTTATTTATCCAATAGTCCCTATATTTATTCAAGTAAAATAAAACACTGACCCACACAATAAGCAACTAATATTTTACTACGAGAATTGAAGCATGTAACCCCAAATTTCCAACAACAAATAACGGTGGAAACTATATGATATTAAGAAGCAAAGAAAAGGATAGAAAGGAAGAACTTTTTTATTTTTTATTTTTTTTTAATTTAAAAAAAAATTGGTTGGTTCACTGACCACCCTTGCCCAAGTGTGCCTCCGCCCCTGCATCATATCATAGCTGGCCTCTTTGTTATTTCAGGTGAGACGTATATGTTTTTATCACCTTTTCGTTAGGAAAGTCCCTTTTTATGCTTTTGTTCATTCTATATATTTGTGAGTTCCAATCCACCTATGAATTAATGTACCATTTCATTGGTGCTTAGGATAAGATGAGCACTGATGCTCATTAGATCATTTCTGCATGGTTAGAACTAATAAAGAATTTGAAGGAGACGAAGAAATGAGAATTGTTCCATGTTTTCAAGAAGTAGGAAATGTGTGTATTTGGATGATTTCAAGAAGTTAGCATATTAAGTGAGGAAAATTTAATAAGGGTATATTGGTAAAAGAATACAACAAAATATTCTACATTAGGAAACGTGTCTATATATTTGGGACAAGAGAAAAAGGAAACACAGCCTATATAATTGGGATGGAGGGAGTAACTTTGATTCGACTATGGAAAATTACTTGCCAAAAATATTAAACATTGACGTTGTTCAATCAAAAAGCAGCTCGTGAAGAGCCATTTCTTTTTGATTAAATTAACAAATCCACGCTTGCGTAATTCTTAACATTCCAGAGAACTTATACTCTACATTCAACTAGATAACTTTTTTTTTTTTTTTTGGTTGACGTAGGAACCCGCAGTTGCTACCTACCAATGGAGCCCGGGCCACTCTGAAAGGATGGATGCCCGACCACTATGAGTGCATACTAGGTAAACCCCACTCTATGTGCAGTAGCCTGCAAACCACACGGGAGAGGTAAACCGCATTAGGCAAACCCGATGCGACAGGCTCGACCGAGGAAGTGTTGGCAGATGATTCGAAAAACAAAATATGCTAGTCTAGTTTAGTATCTGTACCAGTGACCACTGCTGAACCCAACAGCATCTCCTCCAATTGGCATTCCATTCCGAGTCTGTCTAAGCGACCGGATCCTGGATAAGCTTTGTTGGTGAAGCTGGAATGTAATGTCGAGCCCTTTTGCATGTTAGGTCTCGACTCACTATATCCTTGAACGGAGTACCTCTTGGTCGAGTTTGGTCCCTTGTATTGTGGCCTTTGTTTTGGTGCACTGAAAGATCTCGCCTTGGCTTTAGATGATTTGGTGTAGGACATGTAGTTTGGGAGGTCGGAGTATCCGCTCAAACAGCTTCTTGAACCGTCACTTTTAGTAGGGCTAAACGGTCCTCTCTTGGAGCTACCGCCCATGGATGATGCCGAATAGAATTGTGGGCAGTTGTCAGCAGTGTAGAAAGTGGTTTTATCGACATCTCGTGCAAATTTCAAAGGGCTGAAAGATTGAACTCCTTCAGATGATGGACTTAAAACTGTTTGACGGTATATAGAGTCCTTCGATACGGAAAAGCTGTGACTATTTTGGTCCAAACCTGTGCTAAGATGGACCGAGTGTCGGAGGGTTCTAGTTTTGGGCATTACCTGAGGTTTCCCAGTATCCACTTCAAGAATCTTATCACTTATTTCATCATCTGTGGGAACAGTTCTTGCAAAAGATCCATGTTCCCACGATCTTTCAAGCATTCTGTTGTCCTCGCAACCCATGAGTGCTTTGTCTGAATCAATGACCTTGGGATCAGATTTTGAACCATTTCTCTGCAATCAGTTCAAATGGATGGTTAGACATACGGTACAAGTCAACCACAATCCCGAACAGGAGAAAGGTTATGAACTTACCTTCAGCATCAACAATTGTTCGTGCTTCATATTCCTTGTCACGTGTTCAAGCTTCTCAGGAGTTGCAGGTCCCTACGAGTTCAAAGTAGATTTGATCACCAGCACAAACCAACCAATTAAAGCCTTTAGTATTTCTTAATGAGTCGAAATTCCCGATTATGCATGTCTAGATTAGACTGGCAGATGTAACCTTAAATCTAATAACAAGTTAAGTTGGCATTCAAATAGTTTGTGGGAAAAAAAGTCAAAATAAGCTTCCAATCGACCTTTTGGTAAAATTAAGTTGATGCGCTGTGGAAAAAAAAACTCGAACAGAAAATATTAATGACTCACGTGGGATGCAGTCAACTATTACAGATACATGGAAATACTATATGGCAAATATCTCCACTTTTATGCAGAAAAAAATTGCAGCTTTTGTCCCATAAAAGTAGCAATGGTGTAGACTGTAGAGCATACTTTTTAAAGCCTAGAACTATGCTGTTAAACAATAAACATCTTCAACTTCTTATCACACAATGCTACTGGAAGACGAGAACTTTGCTTACCCGATAATTGAAGTGAGAGGTCGTCATGCTTGAATGTGGGGATTCAGAAATCAGATCCCGTACAGCCCTTGCAATTCCTTGAGCTCTGAGCAATGCCTGCATTCGTCGCATAATGTTTGCCATTTGCTTCCTCACAAGGTTACCTCTCACCAGCGCTTGAAGCTTGACTAGAGCTTTCAATGCCCGTAAAGCCCTCCTCGACTACAATTTAATTCCAAAACATAAGAACATCAAACGTAATTTTCTCATTTAAAAGTAAGAAAAATGTAATTATCCAAAATATTTGAAAATAACAAAGTTACATATCGTTTTAACTCTATTTAAATTTAGACAAACGTAATGTACCGCAGGACAAACGTGAAGAGGCAAATTTTGAGGCTGTTCAACTCTAAAGTCAATAATTTGTACATTAATCTAGTACTTATTTGACCTCAAACTAAACTAGAAGGGACACAAGTACATAATGGGTCCATGGGGCAGCAATGCACACTCAGGCCCTGTTTGTTTCTGATTCCCAAATCAATTCTCATTTTCAACCATACATTTTTCAATAAAACAATATTTTCCATCACATCGATAATTTTTTTTTTATAAGAACATCAAACGTAATTTTCTTATTTAAAAGTAAGAAAAAAGTAATTATCCAAAATATTTGAAAATAACAAAGTTACATATCGTTTTAACTCTATTTAAATTTAGTCAAACGTAATGTACCGCAGGACAAACGTGAAGAGGGAAATTTTGAGGCTGTTCAACTCTAAAGTCAATAATTTGTACATTAATCTAGTACTTATTTGACCTTAAACTAAACTAGAAGGGACACAAGTACATAATGGGCCCATGGGGCAGCAATGCACACTCAACATGAAATTTACAAAAGTGATTGGCGCAAAGAAAGACTCGAGTTTTGTCTTTCTACCATGTAAGTCTGACATTCAAGAAAACAAGGATAGCGTACCAATCATCCTGCAAAGTGAACAAAAGTAACCAAGAACCTCTGATGAAAAATTCTAAAGCGATAGAGATTGAAACTTACTTTTTTTTTTCTAGAATCCCATAAAATAAGCCACCATTTGCATACAATTTATAAGTTGGTTTATAAAACAAGATAAAGTCAAACAGTAATTTTAACGATGCATTTATACCCTCGTTTGAGCTCCTTTTTTTTTTAAAATGCATTATTGAATAGTATTTTGACCCAATTTCAATCACACATTTTTCAATAAAATAATGGTACATGCAAATTTAAAATTTTTCCTTATTCTTTAACTACATATTTTTCATCAATATACTATTTAAAAATACTTTCTTTCTTTTTTTGACAAAAATGGGGCTCATACAAGCCGCCATATAATTACTACTCATTATTATGCACACATTTTGTGAGAGCCACTACTATACCTTTTAATATTTCTATTTATCAAACATTTATAAATTTTCCAAATGAAGGCTAAGTGCTTAGAAAATTTGACTGGCTTTTAAGCACAGAGAGCCTGGCCCAACTCAGCCATTTTCATCGAAAATTGAATGGAAAATCTGGAGAAGTTGGAAAGTACATTTGAGAGACTTCCAACTATTGACTTAATAGTGGCGCGTGATTCTCAAAAGTCTTGTATTTGACCTATCTACATATTGCTAAAAAAATTGATTTAGGAGCTTTAGCTCCTATTTGGCCCCCAATTTTCTATTATTTATTTTCCCTTAAAACTCATTATATTTCATGGAATTACAACTTCTATCAACTTTTTAATCATACATTTCATCAATTTTTATCAAAATCTACTAAAAATCTGATTTTAGCTAAAACCAATTTGCTCGTGTATAATAATTCATATTCCAACAATCGATTGGCGTAAAGAATCTCAATAGCGATTAAACTTTCAATGCCCTTTCCCAGTAGAGTGAAAGCTGAATCTAATTAATGAAGATGCATACCAAAGCCCCCAGCCAATAAAATGGAAAAGAAAGTCCTGGAGGTCTTTGTCCTTACGAAAGAATTGGGGTGAAACAAAGAAGACGCACTTTTAAATTTTCCTGAATTGTTGCCGTACTTTCAAATTTCCCAACAATCAATCAAATCTAAATTTTTTTTTGAACTATCACTTTACTTTCAAAGTTGTTCTCTACTGGATCAAAATGGATTTTTATAAACATCGAACTGAATTCAATACTGGACAGAATTAAGAAACACTCGATTGTACCAAAGGTTACTTCTTTACCAAATGTATCACCATGCACATTGAAAATTGTAAAAAAATTTGGATCCACGTACCCATAAACTGCCCTGTCTACCAATATGGACAAAGCCCAACAACAACTACATTAAATTCTTATGAAAAAGTACACATTTTTGAGATATCAATTGAATACTCCACCCCAACCACAAAATCTTCATAACCAAATCAACTATGCTAAATGTACAATGAAGGATAACAATGTTGGATTACCAACATTCACAATGGGAGGGGTTCACTTTTTTTTTGAAAGTTTTTATCGCGCGGGACCCACATGCATGTGAGAAATTGTCAACTTAGAATTACCCTAACCCAATAGCCTTTGACCCCATTAATTTATGAAAAATGCTAAATGTACATAATATATGTACATAAGGGTGTACATAACCCTCACATGGGGTGAGGTCCTAAAAAATGTGGACTTCACCCATGTGAGGGTTATGGACGTCTCTATGTACATGTATTATGTACATCAAGCAAAGTTCTTAATGGACCACCCTATTACTATATGTTACACGGGTGCAAACATAGAAGGGCAATGTACTACTCTGTAAACAAGGCTGACAACACAAAACGACACGAAAGAACAACTCAGAGGTGGCAGCGAAAAGACGAAATTGCCATTGAAAACAAACACGACAGAAATTATACAATTCCGAAAACTTCTATAATGTAACAGAAAAAGAAGATGACGAGTCGGCGGCGTCTGACTCGTCGCCATTGACTCAGCACCCGTCTAACTCGCTCAATTTGTAGTTGTTCGGTATTGTACGTTATCTAAAAATTCATTTATAATAAAAAAGTACAATTCATAATGCACAGTTCGGAAACTAACCAGATATGCACGGAAATGGGACTGAATCTTAATGGCAGCCAGTTCTTCATGATTCCCATAACTTGCGTCACCACTTCCTGCTGCTGCAGTATTCCTTCCGCTGCTAGTGAGCTTGACGACTGCATCAGCTTCCGCGATCACGAGTTTACTAGCTTCAATGTCGTTTTTGCTCATCAAAACTACCTCATCTGAGGATCTTTCTTTGTGAGATTTGACAAAACTCCATTTCTTCTTCAAGGCTTTTTGAGTCGGGTCTGCGCTAGAATCCGATTTCTTGAACCGCATGAGACCACGGAACCATCTCGAGACTTTGCCCATTTGCTTTTTTTGGTTGATTACTGATGAAAATGGATACAGAATTCGAGCATTTTCAGTGAGACTGTGAGAGGTAACGTGTGTGAGTGCTGTTTCCTGAGTAATAAAATGTAGAAGCAAAATGGTGGGGACTTTGATAACACTTTGGGATTAGCAGCATTTATAAGGAATAATAATGATAATAATAATTATAAAAGTAATAATAATGAATAACGACTGGTAAATTATAAATATGCATTTCACTTATTAATTTTATTTTCAGATTCACGAGCTTTATAGCATCTCCAAGACACTCTCTATTTTTAAAGAGCATATTCTATCATTTGAAGAACATTTATAAATTTAAAGAATTAAAATTTTGAAATATTCCAACAAGCTCTTAAGTTTACTATTTCCAAAAAATATTTATTATTTTTCTTCATATTTTATTTTAACTAATTTTTCTTTAAATTATTTTATTGCTTTCTTAGATTAAAAATTGAAACTTTTTGAATGTATTTAATTATAGCTCTCTAAATTAAAATATTACTTTAAAAAGTCTTTTGAAATATGATTTTAAATGTTAGACTCTTTAAAATAGAGAGAATATCATGTTTAAAGAGTCTCTTGGATATGCTCTCAGAGGTTAAAAAATTTTGAATTTTATAAAATTTGTTATTAAAATTAATTATTAATTTTGATTAAATTTTAATTTAACTTTTTATTTAAACCAAAAAGTAGCTTAAATTTACCAAAAAAAAAAAATTAAAGTACAAGAATTAAAACCTAGACCATGTTTAAAATTAGAGGTCATATTTTATTTTATTTTTAATTTTCGAAACTAAGGTTGTGAGATGTCGAATTTATATATTATATGATATCGTGGCTTTTTTTAGTGACATTTGTCGTGGTTTTAGTCGGTTTTTTTTCCTAATAAAGAAATAACATGGTCTTTAGAATTATCACTTGCTATTTGAGTTCCAATCGATTTAAATTGAGTTAATTGAAGGCGCGCAATGATCTTCAGTACAAAATGAATATATATGATCATTAAATTTAGACTCGGCTGATCAATCTAATTGGTTCATGTGTCAATCAAACTTGTCGACGCTCGTTAGAAGGTTATAAAAGAAACTAGACCGGTTCAATAAACTGGTTTTTAATACAAGTTCTTGTAAAAAAGTAGGGGACGGACAAATAATACGAAAGATTTTGCTGTCAAATGTCATGATCCCAAAAAGAATTCCTTGGAATTTTCAAGAAAAAGAATTATCTTGGGATTTTAATGATGCTCAAACTCCTATTTCAAATCCTGTTAAAAATATTCCTCAAAGAATTACTCATTTTCCTGATGGAAGTGATAGATTTTTTATGGTTGAAGGGTTCAATAGGGAAGAACCTTTTTATTTTATTTTTTTAGAATTCAATACTTTAAATGAAAATTTTCACCAAATTTTATTAGTTCTAATAGAAAATGGCAACTAAAAGTTTTCTTAAATACATGAACTCCTAATGGTATTCCACCACATGAATTAGTTTTGAAATTAAATTGTCCGATCATTTTATTGAGAAACATAAATTCATCTGAAAGCTTGTGCAACGTAACTAGGCTTATTTGTAAAAGATTCGATATGAACATAATTGATGCCGTAATTGCTATTAGAGAATATAAAGAAAGAGAGTGTTTCTACCCCGTATACCATTTGTACCTCTTGAAAATGATACGAGTCCAATTCGATTCAAAAGAACACAATTTCCAATTCATGTATGCATCGCAATGAGTACAATTATCATATTCTTTATTAAGAAATGCTTCGAAATGCAAAGGAGCGGATTATAAGGGCAGTCAGCCTCATAATCTAATGCAATCTTTCAAAGTAGTTGGACCCGTATCAAGAACGGAAAATATAAGGGTGATGCCAGTAGGTATAATCTTACTACGACTCAAACCTTCATTTACGCTATATGTAGTTTTATGTATACTTCAACCTGGTTACTGCGTTGGTTTGATATTTTTTCTCTTACGAAATAATTTATTACCTTTGTTATTTGGTTTTAATTACTGATTCATGTTTATATCTGTAGGTTACAACTGTGATTGACACATGAAAGAATGGATTTCGTTAGGGGAAACAGCCTCTACTTGACAGTATACAACTGAAAAGGCAGAAGATGGCAACATCCAGCGATCCTAATGTTGAAAAAACCAATGCAGATCCTCTTGGTGGCATCGTTGATCCATTGAAAAAGTAACTTTACCATACCTTTACCGGTTCAGGGAGAAATGAAGTTAGTTCCATTTTGTTCTTTTGTTCAATGCAACTGCTTGAAATCATTTGCCAATTAAATTAGAAGAAGCATAGATGAAAAATAGTTCAAGAAGAGAACTACCACTTTTTGAAATCCTTCTGGGAGAATTTTGTATATGTTACCATATTAATTTGCTGATACATATCATAAAGTTCAGCTTAGTTTTCAGAAATTTAATGTTCATGAACTGGGACGAGTATGCTAAAATTATATAAATAAAGTGAACGTATATACGAAATCTAATCATTCACATCTTTTGTTTGATCATATACATTAACTTGTGTTTTTGGTTCTTAATGTGTCATTTGTTTACTGGAATTACAAATAGCAAGTGCACGTTCCACTTTCAAGTAATAAAGTTGATTATGAGTCCGAGTTACTAATCCCTTAAGGAATGTTTAGTTTTAATTATGCAATAATTAATTTAATTCTATAAACTCAATTGTTCACATTATTGACACTATATAACTGAATGTTTACATGATCTAAAATAGATTGTTGTTATAAAGAAATCTCTTACAAAATTATAACAATCATTGTGCAACTCACGATCTCCACTAGTAATTATATATATCTTTTTGCTTTGAGATCTTTAGTATCCGGTCATGTCACATGAATATTCATAAATAATCTTTTGGTGTTTGATCACGATTTTCATTGTCTTATCTGGATTTCACATGCCATTATGTAGAAGTTTCGACAATGATTATGCTTTAATACAATAATTTTTTTACAAGTAGCCTTTCAGGAAATGATCTCTCGTGGATTTATTGATAGGATACTTATGATTGAATGCCTTGTTCATGTTGGATATTACATAGAATTTAGGCAAACAAATTATCATTCTTTTCTAGATTTGGGGATAAGGAGCAGAGGTTCTACCAGATGTGAAGTTGCTCGAAGCTTCTGGTATATGGCAGGATCATTTCCGTGTGGAAGAGACCAATCGAGAAAATAAACCAACGAAGCAATAACCGCTGGAACAATTTTGGTACCCATGGGTAGACCGGGGCAGATTCTCCTTCCTGCACCAAAAGGTAAGAACTCGAAATCATTCCCTTTAAAATCCACAGCTGAGTCGAGAAATCTGTTTGGCCTATATTCCGATGGCATGTCCCATGTAGATGGATCTCGCCCGATTGCCCAAACATTTACGAGAACTCGAGCGTTTTTAGGAACGGTGTAATTCATCACTTGACAGGTTTCAAGTGCTCGGTGAGAAAGCATCAGTGGTGCAGGAGGGTGCAACCTCAAGGTTTCTTTAACACATGCTTGAAGATAAGGTAACTGCGCTAAATTCGAAGTTTTTAGCAAACCTTGATTGAATTCCGTATCAAGCTCTTCTTGAAGTTTCTTCATGGATTCTGGATTGTTTATAAGTTCTACAATTGTCCTGTTGATTGTTGAGGTAGTAGTATCTATGCCAGCTGAAACCAACTCCTGTCACATTGTAATAAGAAGTATGAACTACAAGCTAATAAGATAACGTGAGGCTTTACAAATAAGGTAAAAGCTTTGTTTTGTTTTTGGATTTCGTGTGGGGTTTGGTGTGGTAGGAGTGTTGAACGACCTCCATTTGAAAAGTTTAGCCGGTTACACTGAGCAGCAGGGCCCCACCCAATGTATTAAAAAAAATTTGTGGCCCCCACCTCATAAGTGCCAGAGCAATGCTATTTGCTGGCACACATGACACGACTGCAAATATCATTATTCTAGTGTGTTTGATGGATATTATTTTGGAAGAATATATTTTGAAATAGTAGATTGATGGAGAATGTGTAATTGAAAAAGAAGGAAAAGTTATTGATGTGATGGAAAATATTATTTTAATAAAAAATGTGTGGTTAAAAATAAGTAGAAGAATGAGAATGAAAATTTTAATGGGTATCAAACACACCCCGTAATCTTGCAGGGGGCTTGTGTCTTGTGAACTCAACGAAAAAACTAGTACAATTTTCATAAACAAGCCAGATTTGACTCAGGCACCTTTGCCTATGATACCAAGGTTCTAGGCAGTTCAACCAGGGATGGGGTTGGAGGAGGAGGAGGAGGCGGAGAGAACGAACCTCGAGTAATTTGTTGATTTGATAATCGGTGAAACCTTTATCGAGAAGTGTATCCAAGAAATCTTGATGGCTCAAACCGCCCCGTGTTCTTTTTCTCCTTTCTTTAACAATAGGCTCCCACAGGGCATGAACCCTCATCGACAGTTCTCTATGTTTCTTTCTCACACCTTGAAGATCCAACTTGCTCAGAAATGGATAAGCATCCGACAAATTTGGAGCTCCGATTGCTCCAATAATCCCTCTTAGAAGACCTTTCACAGGATTATCCGAACCCTCTTCCTCCAGCCTAACCAAATCTCTTGAAAAGAAAGCATTAGCGAACATGTTAAAAACAGTTGCATAAACACATTTCTCCAGATTCACCACCAAACCATCCTTTGTCCTCAAAAGCTCCACCATCTCCGTTATTTTCTTCTCCCTCAAAAGTTCTTGTGACTCCAATGCTTTACTAGAAAAAAGCTCGGCTCGACACATTTTTCGTATATTTTTTAAGTTCTCGCACGACGCATCCGCCCAGAACGATAACTGGTCGATCTCTGACCTCGTCAACGGCACAGAATTCGGAACCGCTCGCGCAGAAAATACTCGGTCCTTCGTCTTGAGGATTTCTATAGCAGCAGTTGATGATGATCCAATAACCAGATACTGCAGTCCTTCTCTAAGCAACATCAGAGGGCCATGCTTTGTTGCAAGATTTGCTAAACTGACATGATCCATTGTATTTATGGAATAAAAGTTGCCTAAAACTGGCCATGGAATTGGCCCTGGAGGAAGTGGTGGATTGTATGATTTGAAACTATTGTAAATCAAATACAGAAAAGGCAAAACAAGAAATGAAAGCATGAAAAAATAGGCTTCTTCCATGGAAATTAAGCTTAAGCAATTCTGTTGAAAATAAGCTATTTTATAGCAAGAAAGCACTGAATAACACTTAAGTTGACGTGACGTGTTCATTGAAATTATTTGATCAATTCTGATTACCAAAAATTCTAATGCGGGCCATGATTTTCAATTATTAGACGAGAGAGGAAATTGGGAGAGAGAAAAATGTAGTGGTTACAAGGAAGATAGTGTTGCGGGACAACTTTGTTTCTTGTTTGAGATGTTAAAGTTAAAAATGTGTTTCGGGTATTTAAAAGTTGATTCTAATTATTGGAGGACTTATAAACTTTTATATATATAAAATAAAATATTTTGCACGTAATTCAAAGCTTTTCACAATTTTTAATCATGCATTCTCCCAAAAAAAAAAAAAAATCAATATTCAAAACATTGTTTTGACCAAATAATGACCATCAAACATGGACTATATAATAGACAAGATAACATTAACCAGCAATTTTTAAGAATTTCTTCAAAATTAATTTAACCTTGCCGACACTTGTCCGTTAAAATAAAGAGCTAAAAAGTATCGCACCTAAAATTATCGAGTAATTAATTGTATAGTAACTTGAAAAGTCATTACTTAAAAAATGTGAAACGTATTATGGTTTGTAGTTTTTAGACACAACCAAAAAATCTCAGTTCGATCTTATCTTTTGTTTCTTTAAACAATTGGTTGTCCATTGCGCATTTCCGCCATTGAAATCACTGTTTGGGAGAACGACAATTTATCCATAATGTTCGAGTGCAATTTTGGGCTTATACTTCCCAAGTCCCTTTCAATATTTCTTGATGACTCCATAAAGAAATCTTTTTTATTATTTCCAAATTGACGTCGCGTGCTTGACTATAAAACCCACCTTTGGCAAACAAGTGTCACCATCGTGTCTAGTCTAAATCAGTTCCTATTTGAGCCACATCATTTTTTGATAACTATTATATGTACACTTGGTGTACATCCCCCTCACGTAGAGATGGCTCATGAATTTTTTATTCATGGTGGGTCCCCTGTACACCATGTATGACATGGTGTACAACCATCATTTTTCTTATTTTTTTTATTATCATCTTTCTACTCATTTTTCAACCACACATTCTTTAATAAAATAATATTTTTCATCACATTAATAATTTTTCCTTCTTTTTCAACCATACATTCTCCATCAATCTATTATTCCAAAATAATGTGGCTCAAACACACTTAATCAAACCTTCCAATTTTTGTAGTCTTTTGCTGATAGATATGAAAACAAAACCTAACTTAGCGGATAAGGACTTTAGTGAAAATGTGTTTTCACCTGTATAGAGGTAGGTCAATCGACCTGCATGCATGACAAGATGCACTGAGAGGAAGTAAGAGCTCGGAGAAGAGGGTAGGAGGGAGAACAAAGATGAATTACAGAAGAAAAGTGAGTGCACGAACTTGACCCTAAAATGTCTACTCCTCCCCTTTCTTAGCAAGAGGTCGGTCGATTCTCTTTCAAAATGATTGAAATCTTTTAAATTCGGTCCATCTAACTTTATGGGTCTTCTGTTTATTGTAATTTATGGTTACACCTGGTTTTACCGTGTTACTCATCGTTAACGTTAAGCAACTTTTCGTTAAGTAGTTTCTTGAACAAAATCTATTATTAAATACCCAACTCCTACAAAAATTGAAGTAGTTTATTATTATCACGTTCTTTGAAATGTTATTTAAGTCATTTATTTTAGATCGCTTGATTTTGGAGATGTGTTAATGTGTTGGAAATTTTCAACATTTGGGGCCACATGCAATATATTAAAATGTGTGGTGCTATTATTTAAAAGATATTAGTCAATTAAAGTGATCCGTTAAAGATGTATTTTGACTAATGGGTATTAGGTTTAATGGAAATATAGTGTAGAGATCGGAAGTTTGTTTTAGATTGATAAGTGGCCAATTTGAAACAATTGAAAGATAATGACTATTCAATTATTAGGTTATGGTCCCCAAAATTGAGGGTGTTCTTCATATTCTCTGCATCCCCATCAACAAAGATTGAAATTCAAGAGAAGACTACTAATCAATTGAAAGATCATAACCCGTTCAAGCAATCAAATAATATGGATCAAGGTATACTTCCGCTATTTTAATCTTTTATCTGATTTCAACATGGTGTATGTATTAAATTTTATTTGTGAAAAGGATTTGACTAAAGCATATGGATTGATAATCCTTTCATTGTTTTCTATCATAATGGGGATCCAAAAAGTAATGTTTCATAATATCAGTACTGCTAAAGCATCAATTTAATTAATATTATATGATAAGTCCAATTACATGGGTATAATGATCTTTCTTTTAGTTAACTTTAATTGGACTTATTATGTAGTGTCAACTGAATTTGTGTTTTAGTACCATTAGTGCTCCACATACTAGAAACATTGAATGTTAAAAATTCAAATATCAAAGAAAAAATCCACAAATGCGTTTGTTTAATAGATTATTTTTTTTGTATAGAAAGTCTCAAATTCAAGATCTTCCTCTACGTGAATTTCTTAAGAAACGAAGTCAGATTGTGAGTAGGTTCACAACCATACCGACTACTTCAAGAGCATTCATCCATAAATCGGTTACTGGTACAAATACTATAAAGAAACAAGGGTATGTGTGGGTTCAGATCCTTCTATAAGTTGAATTCATTAGGTTATTCAATTTGTTCACTAAGTATAATATTTTTAAGAGATGCCTATCTTGCAAGAAACCACCTATTATTATTATATTTCGACTTTTGTGGCACTTCCACGCAAAAAATACTCTCTCACACTTTCAAAGATTTTGATTAAAAAGACAGTGAAAGTGTGAAACATTTATTTTAATATTAAATATTGGCTATCAAATTTTGTATCAAGTTTGGTGAAAATGGATATACTTAGAGAAGGATTTAATTTATAGTTTTTTACACGTCTCTTCACACGGTTGCATCCTTACCAAGAAAATTTGGTATCTTGGAAGAGGCACAACCTCTTTTTTTATGAGTTTTCAAGGATTTAAATGTTTTTTTGTCACAATTCCGTCATCAACCTCCCATAGATATACTTAAAAAATGGGTGACGACAACTCTACCTTTGATTACGAGCTGTTTAGTGTTCGTTGTTGTTGTGTATTGGGGCAACTTCTGCCTTTAGTTGCTCTTGAACGGGATGGTGGTTGCTCCACTTCCAGCCACCATTACCACACGCGTAAACAAGCCAAATTTGAGTAAAATTAGGGTCAAATATATCCACGTGGGGAAAAATAACAGGGGCGAGATGGGGGTAAGTAGAAGAAAAGGAAGGGGGAGAGGAAATTTTGAGCAAGTAGGGACATGTATCCAGCATGAAGAGAAGAAAAGAAAATATTAGAATAGTTGTACAACTTTATAGCTAACATTAGTTCGGAAAAATTATGCTCCCGTTTGGTACACATTTTTAAAAATCTCACTTCATTTAATACTCGTGCTTTTTATTAACTTTTCAACCACATATTTCATTAACTTTTAATAATGTGGCCTAAATAGGGGCTAAATATATCCACGTGGGGGAAAATAACTCATAAATGTTATTTTGTGCAAGTAGGGACATGTATCCAACATGAAGAGAAGAAAAGAAAATATTAGAATAGTTGTACAACTTTATCGCTAACATTAGTTTGGAGAAATTAAGTCCCGTTTGGTACACATTTTAAAAATCTCACTTTTCATAAAATTATTTCCAATTACATATTTAGTACTCGTGATTCTTATCAACTTTGCAATCACATATTTCATTAATTTTTAGTAAAATTTATTTTTAGCAAAATCAAACAAGGCCTAAATACAATGTATAATATTTTTAAAATAAGAGATACCTTAATAAATTAATATGTTATTATTTTATTAATAACTTATTAATTATTGAACGTTTATATTCATTAAATAAATAGTGTTGTGTAGGTCCAAAAACTATTGATTTATAAAACCTAACTTTGAAAATTTTAAAAAATGATCAGTGTATTTTTATAATGAAATTAATGGGCGTTAGGGAAAATTCAAAACTACAAATATTTTACGTAATGAACTAGACAAGAATCATTTATTAGTTACAAATCACAATTACCCCACCCCACTCAATAAGAACATGTGTTGCATGCTCGTTGCACCATGAAAACCGCTTCAATTCAGCCTTCAACTCTTGTGAAAACTGTTTACTTTTGTTACGTCGACGTCGACATCTCCATTTCAATTCTGGAGAATCCAGAAACGACGTCATTGTCGAAATCTATGTTGATGAACATTTGCGGTTCAACTCTATGTATGATTATTGTATCATCATCCTAGAGATCAAGCGTGGCCTCAACAAACCCCTCGACCAAAATTACCGAACCTAATAAATCCATTCGGTGACGATTCTTCACTGTAAACCAAGTTTTTCGACAGCCACCGTGTCTAAGAATGACCATAAGTGTTTGTGTTTTTCGAACTCTTCCATTTAATCCTCCCAGAGTAAAAATCATAGATAATTGTGAAACAAAATATGGTCTCAACATGAGTTATTTTTCTCAATTTCAACGAGTTTGAAGCTCTTTTTTTCTTTTTTTGATGAAATTCTACAATTCTGAATTTCTAGAGGCTTCGACTTTCCATAAAGTTGGGGAATTATACAGTAGGTATGGTGGGTTAGGCGGGGTGTACCTGATTTCCAAAAGAAAATTTATATGACCTGATTTGTGAAATTGAGGTAATTTTTTCTCCGTGAAATTGTATCTACATTCCATGGGGGTATATGGCGCATTTTTTTCAAAAGGTTCACATCTCAACTATTAAGTATGCGACAAAGCAATTCTCAAACATTAAGCCCCTGTTAGATGCGCATTTTTCCAAAAATGAGAATGAAAAATTCTACTGTTATACAGTGAACTTGACCTACTTTGGCAGTCATTTTTGATTGTGTTGCTTGAATCAGCTGAAAAAATTTGTGAAAATATCATGTTGCCTCTCACTTTTTCTATGTCAAATTTTTTAAAAAAGGACAATTACGACATTTCAAATGCCAAAAGACGGTTGACTTTTGCGTTTTCAAATACTGCGTCTACGTCACCGTACCATTTACTGCTGCACCAGTAACAATTTTTTTTTTTATTAAAATGAAGAATTAATGTGCATCAAACAGGTTCTAAGTTTCAAAATTCAAAAGTCACGTTTATGTTTTAATTTTAAATAATAATATTATCAAATTAAATTAATCAAACCCACCCCACCCCACCAAACAATTGCCCCTAACCCACCCGCCAACATTCACTCTCTCGACGACTTCTTTAACGACGAACTGATCATCTTCTTCATTCACGACTCAACGGGTATAATTTAAAATTGAAAAACAACTCATTGTGTAATTTACAGAGTATTTATCGGAGCAAAGAACTTCAATTCTCATCGACGAAATCTGATTAATTGAAAATGTAACCAATTAGGATAATTGAGGTCAAAGAAATCAATGGCATGTGACCAGATCTCTTAGATATGTGACATATGACCTAAGCCAATCGTTTGTAATCAAATCTCTTGAATCCGTGAATTGTGACCTATGCCCTTGACATGTGATTTATAACCTGATTTAATAGCCTGCGAATAAATCTCTTAAATCTATGGCAAGTAACATATGCACTTTGACATGTTACCGTGACCCTGATCCAATAGTAGGTGAACAAATATCTTGAATCTATGATCCGTGACGTGATCAAATGACCTGTAATCAAATCTCTTGAATATGTGACCTAATCCAATGGCATGTAATCAAGTCTATGATCCGTGCACTTTGATAGGTCATACATTCAAGAGATTTGATCACAGAAACTCAATCGACTATGACCTACACCGCCATCATCACCACCTGTGGACATTGATCCACCACCAACATTCCACCATAACCACCTCTATAACACTCCACCACAACCACCACCATCGCACTACTACCATCACCAGTAACAACCCAACAACCAAGTAAGTCACCAATGCCAAAACATCACAAAAACCACCACAAAATAGTTTCCAAACCATCATAAAACCACTTCCAACCACCACTTTGAGCCCTTTTCTGAAATTAACCCTGCCAAATCTTGTAAGAATAACAATCCCCAAAGCTCCAAATTCTCAATCCCTTCACAACACAAAAATTCGTGCCTCATTTCACAGCAACCCTCCCCAATGCAGATGAGGCTTTGACGGCTAGTACTGCCATTTCCTCTGCATTCAGTAGACGCTTCAAGTGGCTCACGGTGGCCATCTAAACACCGCTGCGCGCGACCTTGCTAAATAGAGCTCTGGTGACTACGGTGCAAGACTAGGAGTGTGAGAGATGAGAGAGAGCGAGTGAGAGGAGATAGAGATGAGAGAGATTAATTTTAATTTTGATTTATACTCAAATAAACTTAATACCTTATTTAAGAGTATGTTTGATTGATACTATTGAGAAAATAATGTATTTTAAATAGTAATATAATGTGAAATATGTGGTTAAAAAGTAAGAAAAAATTATTGATGTGATGAAAAATATTATTTTATGAAGAATGTGTAGTTGAAAATGAGTTTTGAAATAATATATTTTGAAAGAAAGGGAAATTACATAATTCAGGTGTTCGAAGAGTGGAATTCAAAAATCAGGGACCAAGTTTCATTATTCAAAAATCAGGTAATATATTAAAACCCTAACCCTAATTTACCACTCTCAACTCCCTCACCCCTCTCTCTCTCAGTCTCTTGCCTCATCTCGCCTCTTCTTCCCTCTTTCTGTAAATCTCCCCTCTACCCATCGTCGACCACCGCCCACCGTAAAAAACCACCACACACATCAACAATCCACCACCGAACTCATGACGAAGATCGAGCAGAAGCGCAGCAGCTCGATCTGAAATTTTCTACTTCAAGACCACTACTTGGAGCACTTGTTGAGATGGTAGATCTTTGCTGCTATGATGCTGCCGTGCGACTCTTTCATAACAATGTCGCGACGGGTGCTATCGGTGTGTGTGTGCTGTGGGGGGTGTGTGTGTGGCGGAGTGGAGTTGTGGTGGTGGTGGCGGCGACGTAGTAACGGGTGGGGTGTGGTGATGGTGAAGGGTTTGAGGTTTTTTGTTGGGTGGTGGTTGTGGTGTGACGTGGTTTTTTTTTGTTGGGTAGTGATGTAGGTGCAGTGGTGGTGACGGCGTGGTGCAGGTGTGGTGGGTTCGAATCTGGTTAGTAGTGGTGGTGGTGGTGATAGTGTGTAGTTAGATGCGGTGGTGGTGAGTTTGTTGGTGGTGATGTAGGTGGCCGTGGTGGTGATGGCGGCGACGGGGTGAGGGTCGTCAAAGTGGCGACAGTGGTAGTGCCGGTGGTATGTGACCAAGTATTTGGTTGTCTGTGACCAAGTGTTTAACCGTGACCTAAAAATTTGACAATATGTGATTGAAAAATAATTTGTGACCAACAAATTTGAAAATATGTGACCAATGAAATTAACTGTGACCTATAATTTTTTGAATTTATGACTCAAAATCATCAGTGACTAATTAATTTGATCATATGTGACCAATAAATAAATTGTGACCTACAATTATATATGTGTGACTATTGATTGCATAATTGTGATATAATTAATAAATATTTTTAATTAATTATCTAATACTTGAGTTTTGAATTGTTAAACTATCTAACTGACTTTTGAATTGGTGTAAACCATACATCTGAAATATGAATTTTTCCCTTGAAAGAATGTGTACCAAACAAGGGCTAACAATTGTCATCTTTAAATACTGTAGTGCAATTTTCACTTCGTCAAAAGGTTCGGGTTTGTTTACGGCCCACCTCCATCGAACAATAGGCCCAGAATCTTCAATCCGATCCCAGAAAAGCCCAATCCTAACCGTTCAATTTAGTATAACAACTGAGTGCCCCTACTTCTTGCGTAGTAGGGTTTTTTTTGAATCTTCGTCCCTTCCCAATTCCAAAACCTCAAATCTGATAGAAGAGGTTAAAGTGACGGCGCCACCACCGTCCGCCTTGATTTAGCCACCGCTATTTCTTGGCCCTCTCTCTTTTACGTATACATATATAAACGAAGAATTAGCAGTACCATTCTAAACCTTTTTTTATCAATGGCGATTAAGGTGTCTAAGGCCGAGAAGAAAATTGCATACGACCAGAAGCTGTGCCAGCTTCTTGATGAGTACACGCAGGTTCTGGTGGTGGCGGCCGACAATGTGGGTTCCAACCAGCTGCAGAACATCAGGAAGGGTCTTAGGGGTGATTCTGTGGTGCTTATGGGTAAGAACACCATGATGAAAAGGAGTGTAAGGATTCACGCTGAGAAGACTGGAAACACGGCCATTCTTAACCTTATCCCCCTTCTAGTTGTAAGTATAACTGTACAAGTATATTATTCTGTATTTGAATACTACTTTATTTTTTAGGCATTTCATGTGATTTTGTAATTGGTTTACATCATATAACTGTATAAAGTGGAGTTTATCTGTAATCATCTTTTGCTTTTGTTGGTTTCTAAAAGGATTAGTTTGCTACGGTTTTTTACTTATTTTATGTACCTGTTTTGGGGGCCTTATATGTGACTTAATAATTGGTTTATATCAAATAACTGTATAACGTTTATTCTATTAATGATGTCAAGGATGAATTTGATCAGTAATCATCTTTTGCTTTTGTTTTCTTCTACAAGGATTAGTTTCTAGTTATTTTATAAAATTACGTTCCTGTTTTTGGGTATCGTATGTGATTTAATAATTGGTTTACGTCAGACAGCTGTAGAAAATGGGATTTTTATTGTCGTAATGATGGCATGGATAAAATCTATGTATAATCATCGTTTTCTTTTGTTTGCTTGTGAAAAGTTTAATTTTTTTTTGGGGGATAATGAAGGTAAGTGTAGATAATTAAAGTTTGAACAATAGTCGAAGTACTAAAATTTTATCATCTATTTTCACTGAATTTGCAAAAATATTGTGCCATTTTGTGAAACACGGTCAACTTTTGACTTGGATTGTTGCCTTCTTTGAATAGGGAAATGTTGGTTTGATTTTCACCAAGAGTGACTTGAAGGAAGTTAGCGAGGAGGTTGCCAAGTACAAGGTGAATGTTTGCACTACCATTTTTCTTACTGTATTAGTTTTATTTTGAACTTGATTAGCCCATAAGGGTGTGATTTTGTGGTTTTCTCTAGTTGATTTGAATGTTATAGGTTATCTTTTTGTCTTGACAACTGTAAGGCGCTGTTTGTTCACTCTATTGATTTCTCTGCTCTGTTTTACATATCCTGCTTGTACTTGTCTAACTTTTTCCACTTAGCAAGAAATTGTCATTTTTCTTTTATAATTGTATTATCATGTGCTAGTCCTATTAGATTTTTTGCCACTTAAATGTTGTATAATTCTTTTGTAATTTGTTATACGAAATTTATGATTTAGCTTGAGTTGGGCTTGGAGAAAGTAATTTTATAATTTTAATATATTTCTTGAGTTTGAATTCAGTTGAATTCGAGGATCTGAATTCAATTTCAACAAGCATGCTTTTGAAATTTAGACGTGGAAGTGAAAATGGTCTAAAATTGCAAATAACTGAAGTAAGGCAAAGATAAAATAATGAGCTGAGCCTGTATATGCCTTTTGTGAACCTTTCTATGCTAAAAGCATCTTATGTTTTACAGGTTGGAGCACCTGCTCGTGTTGGTTTGGTGGCACCAGTTGATGTTGTTGTGCCACCTGGAAATACTGGTCTTGATCCATCGCAGACTTCCTTTTTCCAGGTGTTCATAAATAATTTACTCAGTCGTGCTGCAGTCACTTTTGCAATAGCTTTGCTCACATCATTTGCTTACAGGTTCTCAACATTCCCACCAAGATTAACAAAGGAACTGTTGAAATTATCACACCAGTTGAGCTTATCAAGAAGGGTGACAAAGTGGGTTCATCTGAAGCTGCTCTTCTTGCAAAACTTGGAATCAGGCCATTCTCTTACGGTCTAGTTGTCCTATCCGTTTATGACAATGGATCCGTTTTCAGCCCTGAAGTGCTCGATCTGACTGAAGACGATCTCATTGAAAAGTTTGCCATGGGTGTTTCCATGGTTACTTCTCTATCCCTTGCCATCTCGTACCCGACCCTGGCAGCTGCACCACATATGTTCATTAATGCTTACAAGAACGTTTTGGCCGTTGCTGTTGAAACTGATTACTCCTTCCCCCTGGCTGATAAAGTTAAGGAGTATCTTGAGGTATGTAGTCACTTTTGTACATTATTTTTACATGCTTGCTTGCTGTATCTTGATGCCCTGAACATTGATGTGATTGTGTAAAAATTACTACTTCAGGATCCCAGCAAGTTTGCAGTTGCTGCTGTTCCGGCTACAGCTGCTGATTCTGGTAGTGCACCGGCTCCATCTGCCGAGGAGGAGAAGAAAGAGGAGCCGGCTGAGGAGTCTGATGATGACATGGGTTTCAGTCTTTTTGATTAAAATCTGTGATGACATCTTTATCGTTATGTTATTCAGTTGTTTTTGACTTCACATTACAGTTCACTATTTTTCTAAAGGTAATGTTAGTTTTGGTTTTAGTTTGAAGTCGGTTTGTTTTTGCAATATAAAAACTTGCTCGCTGTTTTGAGGATAATTTATTTTCTGAGGATAAAAACTTGCTCGCTGTTTTGAGGATAATTTATTTTCTGAGGATAAAAACTTGCTCGCTGTTTTTGCAATTCGTGATACTATTGTGTTTGGTTCTCGTGAAATAGTTATGAATATTTCGTTTAAAAAATATGCAACTAGATCATTGTCTCTTCAAGGACCACACTGCCTTGGAAGCTCAGATTTTGATTCTAATTCTCATTTGATTTTAGTTTTCGCAAATGTTGTTTTGATCATGAAATGAGAATTTATTAGTTGGATGAAATTTAAAAGAATAATGCTAAGTGTACACAATTTTTTACCTCTCTCACATGGAAGGGGGTCCACACATAATAAAATAATCGTGGACCCTCCTCCATCTGAGAGAGGTGTAAAAGATTGTGTAAAAGTGTGTATGTACATGTAGCATTATTCAATTTAAAATAGTATTGGAAAACTTGCAACACAATTGCGTTGTTTATTTATATATAGTGTTGCTAACCTTCTTGTTGAATCATCTATTTAAATCACGACTGATTCGATCTCGAGCCATTCAAAATACAATACGTCGACATCACACGCCCTCTTTATTTCTCTCTTACCCCTCGAACGTTGATGTATCGTATGTTAAATGGCTCGAGATTCGAGGTACCGTGATTTAAATAGACGATCTTACCATTGTCCCATTAAAGCATTTCTCCATTTTATCTTGCAGTGTGTTAATTATTTATTCCAAATATTTTATTTCTCTTGAAAAACTATGGTGATTATGCTTATCATTTTATTTTTTTACAACATCCTTTTACATTTTTTTAAGAATTTTATGGTGTTTAAACTTCTATTCTTCGTCTCTGGCTTAGCTTCCTATAGCACTTTCTGTGTTATTATAATTTTATTAAAAACCTAATCTATTCATCTCTTTGAAAATTTATATTCACATGAAATTACTGTTTAATAGAGTGAGAGGGTAAAGTTTAAAAATTCAAATTACATTTCACTGATTATTAAAACTTAATGTATTAAGTTTTTTTTTAAATTAAAAATTAAACCAATCGGCATTTATCATATTTTTCTTTAAAAAATTTAGTTCTTCGTCAAGTTGTTCATTCAATCACGAAATTTGCGAGCATAAGAAATTTAGGGCCTTAACTCCAATTCTTATCGGAATATTCAATTTAGAAATCAAGATTTTTCGTATCTTCTCCTATTCTTTTAGGAGGAGTTTGATACATCGTATTAGAATTTTTAGGATGTTTTATTTTTTTTTATTGACAAATGAAACCTTTAAATTGTTTGTCAATAACGACGTATATTTTCATATCTACACATTTTTGATAATTTGATATTAAGACATAATTTTGTTATAATAATATTTACAATGTTATTTTAAAATTTTGTTTTTCTACGGGCATTAATTAAAAACGATTTGAAATTAATGGAATGATCGTTATGACCAAAAATGAATTTTTATATCATTAATATCATGATAAATATCTATTCAAATTCAAAAAATAAAAAAAAAGGGTCTAATATTTGAAATTAATGCAAAGATAATAACCTAATACTTAATTTTTCAAAACATTAATATGTATCTAATAAATGTCTCTTCAATACAAATATGTTGAGTTTATCGAAAGAAAAAAGTGAAATGCTTTTGAATTTGGCGTGAAGTTAATATTTAAAGTTGTATAAGCAAATAACATGGCGACATTTAAACCTCGCACATAGGACTAAATACGAGACATATTCTACTATAAGAGATTAAATGTGATTAAATCAAATGAATTGAACTAAATTGGCAACTTGCATAACTTATGGGACTCTTGCTTCAATTTTTTTCCTAATTAACTCGCAGTCAATAATTTTTCTCAGAAAAAAAAATAATCAATCAAAAGGGCATATTGGTCATTTGACAGTTCTCAAAATTACAATTTTTATTAGAATATTGTTATTTGTTAATGCTCATTACCTTAGTCATCCTATGTGATATATATGAGGTGTATCAAATCACTAACTGCTACATATATGCCACGTATGTCAACTATAATAGTGAGCAATTGCAAATAACATTACTCTTTTTATTAACTACTCCAAGTTATAATTAAAATGAATGTTCTTAACTTTATCTCACTTTTGTTAGTTTGTAATCATATTTTCAACTTTTTTCGTCTTATTTTATTCTTGATCTTATTTTAATTAACAAGTCTGGTTTCATATGACCGTCAAAATATCGTATATGATAAAATAAAATAAAATAAAAATTGTTTGTTACTTGTATTTTTAATTATGCAAGACAAACAATACTTACATAAGTTTGACGAAAAATATTTTCCCACGTTCACATGATATTTGGATAAAAAATTGTTATCAAATACTAGATATAATATTTAATTGAAGGTTAAAGACAAAAATGTAACGAAAAAATTTGGAGATATAAGTGAAAAAAAAAAAAAAGAGTAACATTTAAGGACTTCAATTATAATTAAAATGTGGTGCAGTTAACAAAAATTATTGTGTAAATAATTCACCACAATTTTAATTTTTTGCACTACATTTTAGTTGTACTTAAAGTTCTCAATCTTTATAATTTATGTCCCTAACATTTTTGTGACATTCTTATTCTCATTTTTTATTAATTATAACATATCTTGTATATCATAACAATTTCCATCCAAAAAGTATGTTGAAATGACGTAAAAATACTTACTTTCTCATCATTTTTTTTAAAAATAAATATATATATTTTAAGTGTGATGAAATATATTTTTTTGAAGTATGAAAATAAAATATTTTGACAAAATGAGGGTTGAAAATAAGTGCTTGTTTGGTATGGATTTTTGGGGAAATAATTGATTTTTGAATAGTGATATGATGGGAAATGTGTGGTTGAAAAAGAAGAAAAAATTATTGATGTAATGAAAAATATTATTTTATTGAAAAATGTGTTATTAAAAATGAGAATTGATTTATTGTAGAATTTAGAGCTTGTTTGGGAGAGATTTTTGGGAGAAGAATTGATTTTGAATAGTGATATGATGGGAAATGTGTGGTTGAAAAAGAAGAAAAAATTATTGATGTGACGAAAAATATTATTTTATTGAAAAATGTGTGGTTCAAAATGAGAATTGATTCACTGTAGAAAAATTTAATCCCTCCCAAACGGGACCTAAGAATGACCCTGAGTATATTATTAATAAAAAAAAAGTTAACGAAAGGTTGAGAAAGATTCCATATAAATGAATCTTTGTCTAATCCAGAAAGGAAACATGCGCGTTTCTACCCCAGGTCCCCCTCCCCCTGCCTATCACACCTAATCTTCTCTCTCCATATCTTGCATTCTATTCCCCAATTTTTCATCAAGAAAATTACAATCGATTGTGTTTTGCGCGTTTCCCTTCAAATGGGTTCATCGTTTTCGTTCTTGTTTTCTTGTGGAAACTCAGTGATAGACCCGTCGCCGGAGCCAGGCCTCGGGGACTTGCCGGAGATTTGCGTGGCGTCGATTATTGGGTGCCTTGAACCACCGGAGATCTGTAGGCTTGCAACGTTGAATCGGGCCTTCAGGGGGGCTTCTTCTGCTGATTTTGTGTGGGAATCTAAGTTGCCTTTGAATTATGGCTCTATTGTGGAAAGGTTGTTTGAGAATGACGGTGCGAATTTTGAGGGTTCTTGCAAGGATTCGTGTAAAAAGGATGTTTATTCCAGGCTTTGCAAATCCAATTCTTTTGATGGTGGCTCTAAGGTCTAATTTCCCCCCTCTTCTTTTCATTTTTTATCAGATTTATAAAACCCTAATCTTAAAATTTTGTTTTATTTATTTTTTTGCAAAAATTAAAATATGGAAATAATGGGACAATCAAGAACGTCTCTTATGGAAATTGTAATTGGTGATTTTTTTATTTAATTTTTTTGGGGATAATGCATAGATCATATTAATTTTTCCTGGGTTTTAGTAGAAATTAAGCTGCACAGAAAACATTTCAAGAATTCTGAAGATGGATTCTTAATTTTTGTGAAAGTTCTTAAAATATTTTATCCCAGTTTTCATATACATACTTTGATGGGTGTTTTAATGAGGATGAAAGATAAAAGGTAAAATATTCTTTAAACATACGATGTTTTGTTTATTTGGATTATGTACAGAAAGTCTGGTTGGATAAGAGTAAAGGAAAGATTTGTATGTCAATATCATCAAATGGATTGGCAATAACAGGGATTGATGACCGGAGATACTGGAGTCGAATTCCAACTGAAGAATCGAGGTGAGGTTTTCAAAATATTTTTGTCTTCATCAATTAACTTAGGTAGGAATTGGGATTGAATACACTTTCATCCATCACGTGTTTATAGATTTTTAGTGTCAAAATCAAACTTTTTCGGGCATATTATGATGACATTTGTTATTTCTGGAGGTTCCTGTTTTCTTCTAGTGAATCCTTGAGCACCTATAATTGATTGTTTCTATTGAAGTCTGCGTTGGATTTTTTCCGTTATAGTTGCTCAATGATTGTCCTAGCAGGAGGGGTAAGAGCAGTTGGTATTAACTTGTAGACTAGAAAGTGGACAGCCTTAACATTAGTTCTAGCGCGGTTTAGGTTTTCTCTAAACATATTTCAGTTGTTATTAGTTTTCGTAGTTAGCAAGCAGTACATGAACTGTACGTTGTGACTCAATTCTTCCATGTAGGTTTCACTCAGTTGCATATGTCCAACAAATCTGGTGGTTTGAAGTAAATGGGGAGGTTGAGTTCCCTTTCCCGGCAGGTTCTTATAGCCTTTTCTTTAGACTGCACTTGGGACAAGCATATAAGAGGTTTGGTCGGCGGGTTTGCAATGCTGAGAAGGTTCACGGTTGGGATAAAAAGCCTGTCCGGTTCCAGCTTTCGACTTCCAATGGTCAGCAAGCAACGACACAGTATTACTTGAAGGAAGTGGGAAAATGGATTCACTATCACGCTGGGGATTTTGTTGTTGCAGATTCTAGCAAATCAACATTAGTCAAATTTTCGATGACGCAAATTGATTGCACACACACTAAAGGTGGTCTTTGTGTAGATTCCGTTGTTGTATATCCTAGCGAGTTTAAAGAGAGGTTACAGTGTTTTTAAAAACTTTAACCTCTAGATAGTAAGCAATCAGAGGTAAGTAATGTAGGTATGTAGGTACATTGGTTACTTTTGTAGCTTTTTAGAGTCTACAAAGGCAGTTCTTATCCATGAAATTTTCAATCCCAAACTAATGTTTTTAATACCATGGACATCATAAAAATTTAATGTCAGATTATTGTTATAAATTAACATCTGTTTGCATAGGTATATGGACTGCTTTGTTCAATCCTAGCTGAATCCTTCATCCTTGAGACAGGATAAGCAGATGGCTGTTTCATTCGCTTGCATGTTTTCTCTACATGCAAGTGTGGCTCATTTGGTAAGTTGAACAGAGAAGTCGCGAACAGCATTATAAAGGTGTAAAATCAAGTTTAAAACCTAGTTTATGATATTAAATAATCTTATCGAGCACTATATATCAAACATTTCCATATTGTATACCAAACATGCACTTGATTGAGCAATCCGTTCTGGAAATATTGCTCTACTTTATACATATTTATTCCCATAGTCTTTCGATAATTCAAGAAATTAAGGTGCAAAGCTGTAATGTAACCTCCCTAATGAGAAAAATAGGAAATTTCTAAAGGAAGATCTCCAATATCCAATGATAATGGTTAGACCCCAAAAGAAAGTTCCCACTGCCAGGCTAGCGCACAACTTTTAGATCAATTTAGACCATCGAAGCTTGGGAAGGTTTCTGGCAGTTCAAACTTAGGTGAATGTGCTTCAGTTTTGATAGTAATCTTGCGAGCATCTGCTGGTGAGTTATTGTTCGAGGTTGCTTCGGGAATATTAGCTCTTCCCGATGCAATTGCAGGATATGCAAGCGGAGAGGCATCATCTGCGCTCTTGCCAAAATACCCATTGCTGGTTACACATTTGTCCATGTGGCCAATAAGCAAGCGGTTCGAAATGTTTTGATAGGATTTGGAGGTGCCTTCGTTATTAAGCCTTCCACTTGCATCCAGCACACTCTTTCCTCTGCTGGCAGCCACCATGTCATTAAGCAATTTGTCGATCAAACCCTGTTGATTAATTTTGCCATGTTCAGAAGATTGGGGGACTTTTAACAAGCTATCGCTGCACTGATTGGAATCGGAAGACTGAGGACCAAAACATGCCAACTGGGTGGGACGATTCATCTTTGTTCTGGCAGATGCATCACCGGAGTTCTGCATAAGCAATTGACATTGATAATTGTCCAGTGCCGATATCACCTCTCCCGCCCCAAACAATACCCTGTTATCAACTGGGCACGAGATTCCAGGACAAGGCTGCTTTGCAATTGCCCATTGCTCCATACCTTGTTTCTTGTTTGTCTGGTTTGTCCAACTGCCTTGAGAATAATTGTTCAAGCTCTCTACAGAGGAGTGTTAAATTTAATTTAGAGAAGCGATAAAGTGCAGACAATATTCAAAGAGCATTTAGACGGAAAATCGATTTAATTCAAAAAATTCAAACAATTAAAATGCAGTACATGCAGTATCATAGAGGTTTTCACAACAATTGATTTACTTCTAAACATCATAACCAATAAAAGTAGAAGAAAAATGCACTTGCAAAGTCTAATTACTATACGAGGGGCAATGGCCTAGCAAAATTTATAATGTGATGTCTATTTGATATCAGCAAAACCCATGGTGATCAAAAGCTATTTTGGTTGAAGAATTTACCTCTTCGTAGAGAAGAAAGATAAATATTTCTATTCAAGCAACATCAATTAACGAAATATAGTTCATTTTTATGCTCATGAGCAAAAACAAAAGGAAAACAAATGAAAAAGCTAGCATACAGGATTCATCACATTTACATTGAAAAGTTTTCATTGCTTCGAGTAGCAACTGAACAAAAACAGACAGATGAACAGTCACATCATTAGCAATAAAAGTATATCCACATACCGATTGGTCCAATTTTTCTGTCATGACTAAATGAAATGAGCTCTTTCATGCTATTGACAACTTCAGCTATCTGTTGAAAATGCAATTGGAATGTTAACCATAAAAGATGTATCATTCCATGATGGAGGCTCGAACATTTAAAGACATAAAAAATGTACCTGCAAGGACCGAATAAATCTTTTTGGAAATCCCAAGTCATTCACCAGGGGTAATTTCATATTCCTTGCAAGTTGGTGCCCTGCAGCTGCAAACCTATACCCAAGAGAGAGAGACCAAAGCCAAGAGCATTATGTTCTCCAAATTACTTTCATAAGTCTGGTTAATGAACTAAAACTATCACTACCTAAATAAGATATTTAAAATTTCATCTTCGAGAACTCAACAAGAGCAAAGTACTTCATTAATGCAGCACATTGTACCAAACATAGCCAGATTGGAATCACACAGCTGAAACAACCAGGGACGGATCCAGGACCGGACTACGGGGGGGCTAACACGTAAAAAAAAAATTTTTTTTTTTTCCTGAGCAAAAAAATTTTTTTTTTTTGGGGGGGAGGGCGGGCTGTAAATCCGTCCCTGGAAACAACTCGTTCAATAGTCTATGACTACAATAACAGGATACTGTACATCTAGATATCTGCCAGTTAAATTCAATTTTAAAAACAATTAATGTAACATTGCAAGTGAATCATCGGTTTTATTTATAACTAGCATAAGATTATAAGGTCCCACATTCAGCCGGTCTCTTACAGGGAATAGATCGAGCAGGATACATATGAAGCTAGCAGGAGAAAAGAACTAATTGATAACTTCCAGAATACTAGTTGCATTATCATTCTAACATTTTAAGAAAGAAAGTCAAATGAATGCGAGATAATTTCATTCGTTCCACATTGTGTACTAGATGTCCCTCCTTTGAAAGAACTACTCCATTTAGCTTTATAACTATGAAATCATGGTCCTGACTGTCCTCTCCTTAAGTGAACAGGGAAAATAATTAAACAATTGTAATTTATTAGTCTCAAGAGAAATTTTTATGGAAATCGAGATGCATCATGTTTAAGAAAATCTAGAAATATGAAGGAAAAACATGTATGCTTACATATTGCAAGTTGATTGCATATCATGAGGTGAGACCCTATCAGATGAACAATCAGATGAACAGTCCAGTATGTTGTCATGATATTTCTGAGCAGCAAAAACAAACTGATTAACCTGCAAACAGAAAGAACTCTTCAATGATCTCAAGGCCGTTGTAGATATTTCAATCACCAAAAACTAGAGAAAAAATCTGGCCAGAAAATCTAGATCCTTTACATTGTTTCTCAAAGAATATCGCTTTTCAAGGGAGCCGCTTTTAATCTATTTGATTTTGATCTAGCTCCTTGTCACTGATAAATATTTTGGTTCTATCATGTCCGAAAGAAATGATTCTTGGAAAGTTTCGGTTCAGTTACTCATTGAAACTTAATCCAGATATCTCTGAAATATTTAAATGTTTTTCATGAATCAGAAACAATAAATGAATCAGTTAGCTGCAGATATGTTATGAAATACTTAAATGTTATTCATGAATTGGTAATAAAACAAAAAATGTGACAAAAAATAAGATCCGTTAAAGTATTTCCCGCTGCTAGTAGTTTTCTTAAAGTGTTCATACAAAGTACGTCTCCCTCTACATTGAGGAACTTCCTTGATTTCAATAATTTAAGCATGTGAAAGAGAACTGCAGGGCAATGAAAATGTTAGATAAATCAATGAATACATGATAGGTTTCACAAACTATAATACGTAAAATCGACAAAGATAATTCTTAGATCAAAAAGTTGCATTTACCAGCTCAGGATCAGGATTTAATACCTGTGAAGCAACCAATCTATGAGACAAAAATTCATCATGATGTCGTGCGCAAAATTCCCAAGACAGTATCTGGGAGATATCAAGCAATGAGCCTCAGTAATGAATGCAGCTCAACAACTAACGGCAGCAAGCCAACACATAAAGTTATATGGCAACTTCTAACAAAATGGAAAAAACTAATATACCTTTAGGTCATGTCGGAAAACAATGCGAAGTTTACCCTCCCGAACAACACGAAAATTCTTATACACGCTCTCTTGAACTGCTTTCCCATATTCCAGCATCAATAATCCAGAGGACAATCTACATGCTTGAGGCTTTTCCAGGAAGAAAATCTCATCGATCATGCCACTATCAAACATTATCTTGAAAAGTCTAGCAAACATCTCAAAAGTTGCCTCTGCAAAGTAACGAGAACAAAAGAAAAGAAAAAACACTGTCAAATGCTATGTGTGACTAATATAAAAGATTACAGAAGATACTGAGATGCAAAATGAACTAAAATCCATGTTTGTTTCCAGGGAATATATTGGGAAGAGGGAGAAAGTTTCCTCGAAAAATTCTGGACTTGAGAACTACATTGTTGTTATCAGAGTATTGCAGTGCACAAAACTGTATGGTAAAGAGAGGAAGGCACCAATACTCGGGCGTATGAAGGACCTCCACAACTACTGTAAACTAAAAATATTGCCCAAGTGTCATCACAAATGATGCCCAAGGAACACGCTATACAAAAGATAGCATTGAAGGCAAAAAATGAGACACGGAAAATACAATGTGGTGCAAGAAAATCAATGACAGGTGAAAATGGGAATTACAAAGTAAAAACGAAACAGTGGAAATAAATAAAATAAGTATAGATCCAGGAAACACGAGAAAGTATAGTTGGCTGTGGAAACAATGCAAAAGTTGTTCATTGAGTACTTACCAAGACCCTTCCCGGATTTCGAACCACAGATGTCACAACACCATGTCCCCTGAGAAACCACAGAAACAAAGAGAGCTTCCTTTTAGGGCAAACATGTCAATAGTGTGCTTGAAAAAAATATGGACTAAAAAAATGGAATACAGATAAATCTAGAATACAACAATCTGATCAAAGGACAAGAAAAATAAAAAATAGATTGGGGGATGTAAGTGCGATTATAGAAATTATGAAAAATGACATTTTAAAAGAATGAAGGTTGCATGCAACATGAAACTAACCATAGATTTGGGGGAGAAAACACCAAGGGAATATTGCCCAATATTTTCATACATAGATAAACACCACCTTTTCTTTGAGCCAGGGGCATAATACTCTGATACAAATGTTCTCCAGTAACATATATTGTTGCCCTGGAGGAAAGATAAGAAAGTATTAGATCAAGCTCTCCAATGATACATTAATAACTTTATGTTCCTAAAGTTCCAGTGAATACTGAATTAGAAGAAGAGCAAATTAAAACAAACATGTTGCTAAAAGTGCCTAATATACATTGAAATTTAAAATGGATGATAAAGCACAACTTTTTGCCAAGAGAAAGTAACTGACATTTGGTCGGTTCCGCAGATGATATAGATACTGCATAACTCGTTCAGAACAAATATCAACGTCAATCAAATTTGCGAATGACACTTGTTGATTTCCAAGGTCTTGTAAGAGAGGTCTCATCTGCTGTGCTGGTTGTTGAGAATGACTTCCACTTAGCTGTGAAATTGAATGCAAAATCTGCTGATGCAACTGATTTTTCTGGCTATACTGCTGAGTCAATTCCTTGAGTTGGGAATTATAATCTTGCACTTGCTTGAGTTGCTGCCTCAACAAGAATTGTTTAATAATTTGTTGCTGCTGGATGTCCTCTTGGTTGACATCAATTCTTGGTTTTTTCAGCATTTGAGTAATAATATCAGGCTCCTGTTTAATTTTGACAGCATGTGAAACTTGACGAGTTTGCGATTTTGACTTGGACAAATCCGTAGAACCTGAAGCTTGTGCTAGTTCTTTCCTTTTTCGCTCCTGTTGACTCCTTCGACATAGATGAGAAAGTGTTTTCTCTGCAGGAGATGCATTCATTGGAACATTCAATGAGAATGGCATGGAAGATGCAGATAGGCTGATGTAAGGTTCCATGTTACTACTGTCATTTCCATGTAAATAAGCACCACTTGGGAAGGTCAAGTCAGCATTGGCTACAGTAGTATTTGCACCTATTGCTGGCCTCAAACTTGAAAAGTTTACCAGAGCCGTTGAAGTTAAAACATTGGAAGCCAAATTTGAATCCAATTGTGCCATTCCAAGCAAGGATCCCGAACACCCTTCCCTTCTATTTGAACTGTTAGAGCTCAGAGACTCTAAAATCCCTCCAGAACCATTAATAGGTAGTATTCGAGGGATTCCCAATTGGTTGTTGCGTTCCAGGAAAGCCTCCAAAGCCATCTCCTACAGGTAAGCAACAACTAAAGCTTTCCAGGAAGGAAGATCATTCGATGAAAGAAAGCCTACAGAAATGAAGTATAGGTTAACAAACAAGTGATGGCTTTCTGCAAAAACATAGAAATATTTGCTGCAACTACTTGGCTCAACAAAACAAAGAAGGTACAATAACTATACTATTTAGTAAGAATGCATCCAATACAGAAAGTAACCATGAAAAGTAACACTCAGTTAGTCTAATTCTGGCAAAAAAATTCGAAAGGAGAGAGAAAAAGTGACGTAAAGATGGTACTCAGATTAGTTTTTTCACGGGTATACATTTTCCATTAAGAAAAAATATCATCATTAACAAAAACCCAATCGAACTGCTTAAAAATATCTCCACTTGCTAACAGATAAAACACGTAAAAAAATACTTCTAAACAGGAATGTTAGAAACAAGACTTTACATTTGTACAATGCCTCAGAACGCAATCAGTGGTTAAAAGATGGTTATTATTATGGTGACAGCGAGCCGATCCACAAGATCAATTGTGTTTATAATCACTTAAGTCGATGTAGGGCAAGTTGAACCCAATGAGGTTGTCACGGCTATTAAGAACCCTATGTTTGAGTTGTGCGGAAGAAAACACACAGAAAACAAGTTCTTCGCAAACATGACATAGTTATAGCCAAACAACATAAAAATTGAACCAAAAAGTAATGAACACATGCAAATGATCCTCCAAATTTTACTTACCAAAGTAATCAAACTTACCAAGAAATATATATTCACTCATCCAAACCAAAAATTACTATTTTGAAATAAGGATCACATTTCATCACGGGAAAAAAAAAAACACTACATTTGCTCTATCAAACGCAATCAAACGAAGGGTTCCTCCAGTTCTTTCTCAGAAAACAAACCCTACGCTTATTTCCCAATTTCTTTATTTTTTTTTTCAGCTTTTCGCCAAACACAGCAAATGACAAAAGCATCACTGACGTTAAAAAAAAAAAAACCCAAGTCTAAACATAAAAAAAAAACGCATTAAAAAAATCCTAGAATCAAACTGCACATATCAAAATCAAACTGTATATACCTCAAAGATTAAAGCTCCAAAACCTCACTGCCATTTTCGTACCCTGTGTGCGTGAACTGTGAATGTAGAACGTTTTTTGTTTCTTATAGCATTCGCGGGAAGAAAGAGTTGGAGGTAACCGGCTGGTGCCAGTAGTCGGTCGTCGGGCCCACATTTGCAGTTCAGTATAGTACTGTAATATGGACACGCGTCGTGCCAGTTGGACTGGCAATTTGTAACCGATTGAATTTGGGACAAAATATTGTAACGCTCTACTTTTATTTTTGTTTTATTCGTCGTGTCACATTATTTGATAATTTTTAAATTAGACTGGATATAATTAAAGAAGAAAATCGATAATTTGAGATCTCATTTGACAAAAAATTATTATTTTTTAAATTGGAACCCACAAATTGTATGGATCGAAATAACATTTATTGAATTAAGATTGAATAAGAATAAATTAATATAATCTGCATGTATATATGTATAATATTACCATAATCTAGGAACCAGATTGTTGATATACTTGATTATTTTATCCAAAATCTGTAATCCATTTTTATATTATCAAGATTTATAATCTACTTTTTGATATTATAAGAATCTATAATCAAGACGACTCACTTATCAGATTTCATTGTGGAAGATACAATTTTTTTTTTGAAGAATTCGTCATTATATATCTAATCCATGCATAATATCATAAAAAATGGATACAAATTTCTGATTGTATGGGTGATTTTGCCACAGTTGAGTTTCTGCCCAAATCACCCTAAATCTATGAGAACATTTTAAAGTCAATACGAAAAAATTACTTTTTGTTAAAAAATAACGTTGTTTAGCTAACAATCGTGATAGTAAAAATAATAACTCTAGTGAAAATTTTGTGATAGGATGAATGTAGATATACGTACTATGATGGTTAATCTATCTGTCGTAGTAAATATTTGTTGAGATTGTAATTGTATAACTTCCATGAAAAATGCTCATCACAATAATTGTTTTGTTAAACATCATGGTGTACTTTTATCGTGACAGTGAAACATTCACTGATATTAACGACGATAAAGTTCACGCTATAGAGTTACAAACTGTGGCGCTGTTGAGCTGCTAAACAAACATTCCCAATTGATTTTTATTTATTTATTTATTTTTAAGCATACCCAAACATTCTCTTGTGATTTTTGTGGTGTTGGTGGTGGTGTATAGCCATGTAGTTGATTCTAGATAGCATTATTCAAAAAGAAATGGTCGTTGAGCAACTTATTATTCAAAGGCCCATTAACAACAAGCTTTGGGTTTTACAAAGAAGAAAATGGGTCGTTCGTTCATTGGGTAATTAGATGGCCCAATTTTAAAGGAGGTTCATTGTTGGGCTTAGGGGTTGAAAGCGAGCTCAGCCGTTTGCTGCCTTGTGGGCTCGGCTCGACTTGATCCATGGGCCGCTCTACACGTATTAGGATTAGTCATGAATGGAATCGAGCTCAATTTTTATAATGAGTCGACTCGTCTTGAGTTCATGGACCAGTTGATTTGACCGTTTGAGCGGCTAAACGATCAAAATTTTTATTTTTTAAACGGTCACCTTTTTTATATAAACCCTCTCCATTTTATTTTTTCCACAAGTTTTTACCCTCTCAGCCTATAATCTCCCTATTAGCTCTTTTTCTTTCATATATTATTTTAAATGGATTACAACATATTGTTGAAAATTGATTACTTCAACCAAATCTTTGGTGCTTCCAACATAGCAGAAACTGCTACACTATATTTCAATTCTTGTTGATTTAAGTAATGACTAGTCGAGAACAAAATTCAATTAATATGGATGATATTGAATATGATGATGAAACGGTGACAATAGTTTTAAGCAGTAAACAACGAACAAAGAAACAATCGGCTAAGTGCAATAACATTTCACATTGGTGGCCTCTGGTGCAATACTAGTTGGAAACTCAATGTACAAAGCACAGTTAGCTTGGCAAAAGGGTATAAGTATGACTAATCTGATAAACAGAAATGATGTATAATCGAACACAGATGCTCGAAAACTAATGAGGCTCAACTCCAATTTGGTTCTAATGGTGGTGCAAGTTCTAGTTCTGTCTTAGCAATTGGGACTATTCATGGGAGACAATGTGCTAAGACACGATGATGTTCGTAGCTGGTGATTTCCTCTCAACATAGTGGAAAGCGTTCACTTCACCAACTTCACACAAAAACATCTTCAATTCAAGTACAAATTTTATTCTAGAAATACTCTTCATTCAGATGCTATTAATTTATATAATAAAAAAAAGCATAAATAATAAGTGATTTAAACAAGGATAATGCTATGTGTACACTTTGTGGTGTACACAATATTTTACACCCTCCTCACATGGAGGGGGGTCCACAAATATTTTATTGTGTGTAAGCCCCCTCCATGTGGGGGTGTAAAAGATTATGTACACATAGATATTTGTGGGCCCCCCTCCATGTGAGGAGGGTGTAAAATATTATGTACACATAGCACAATCCTTTAAACAAATATACTAGTATTTAGCTTATGCTACTGCATACTACATAGATAAATTAATGGATAATGCATAATCAAAATATTACATTTGAAGTAATTGAATATTACCGTAATGGAGTAAATGTTTTTATTGTTTTAATTAACATTATTAGATAATTTAATTGTAAAAAGTCAACAAAGTAATAATTTAAATGTAAGTTGGACGGGCTTAACCCTACATTATTGTGAAAGTTATGAATATTTAGTTACTACTTATTACAATGCCCAACACTCACATGGTCCAGAATATGATTTGAAAGACCATGATTAACAAATTTCTTTCCATTTAAGACTTTTATTTTTTCAAATTTTTACAATGCCACGAATGCATGTCCAATCTGTATTATCCCATAAGTCCTCTCGTTTCACCCATTTTATTATATTAATTATTTCAATATGTATAAAATATTTTCCTTTTTTTTTTATATCATAGTAGCGATGGAAACTAAGTTTAGAAAATATTGAGTGGAATTGTCTACGTTGTTTTCCTTAGTTTTGGTAACGAACCCTATCCGATTCGATTCTAAAGAAAATCGAGTCAAACCCGAAGTTTTCGGGTATTTAGTAAATGAAACCGTCATATCTAAATTTAATTATGAAACCATTCGGGTTCAGTTAAGTTCAGTTCGATTTGGGGTTCCGTACAATAATTAATTTTTTTTATATTACAACAACGCTACATTAATTCGACTATGACATATTCAATCTTAACTATTACAAAAAAACATAACCCAATCTCGTGACATCTTTTGCAACTTTCTTTATTAAATTCTTCATAATTTTGACTATTAAAATTAGAGGAAGACAAAAATGGTTAGTTCACAACAATATAATGTTAGAAACAACACTACAATAGAGTAAGAGATTTGGGTGAAACTAGATCAATTTGATTAAGTGGGGCTGGTTGGAAATTAGAAATAGTAAAATTGTATTTTGGATTTTGACTAAATTAATTAGTTAGCAATTTATTTTTTAAAAAAAATAATTTGACTTATTTAAGATAAAATATTAAAAAATTTAGAAAAATTCGATTCTTATACGGTTCTTGGTCTAGAATCGAGAACCGAATCAAACCCGTCAATTCTCGATTCAGATATCCGTTCGAGTATTTAATATAAGAAGAACCGCTAAATTCGATTCGGGACCGGTTCGAGCTGCTTCGATTTAGGAATTTTGTCCAACTGTAGTTATACATGATAATTTAGAGTAAAATTTTATATGAGATGTATGAGTTATAGGTTGAAAAAGAACGGTGGAAACGCTCCTACAGCAAGAACTACTGTTTCGTCGCATAACGACATCGATTTATGGAGCTACCTTAGTTATTGTAAAGGTAGAATCAGCTAGGATTTTGCTCACGCCATGCTTAGTATTTCAGATTAAGAAGAAAGAATTTTTTTAACATACTTAGGCAGTGGTAAATAAATGAGTGCCAATATTTAATTATTTCTATTATAGCACAAGATCTATTAACACCTCTAATATTGACTGAGTAACATTGAATGCTGCTTTTATTGCATGTGTCCTGTTTTGTCTGATTACATATCAGGATTGAAGAACATTTATTAGATAATTTTATGTAGTATTAAGCTAGATGACCCGCGCTGGTGACCGCATGGATGACCGCGCCCTCACAGCTGAGGCACGGGTCCCACCGGAATAAAATAATCCCGACCCCCATGTGTGTGTGTGTGATCACCCATGCGGTTATCCATGCAGTTCCTGTAGCACGGTTGATGTAGTATTAAGCTAGATGACCGAGAAAAGGTAGATATTTAGATTCAATACAAAATTGACTAATTAATAGCCGAAGGTTTTCAGGACCTTGGTTGATTTCATAATTTATATGTATTGTTTATGTTAATTTCCTTTTTGTTTTGACTTCTAGAAAAAAATGTACACACGATGTCTAGTTCATGTACAATTTTAATTCCATACAAGGAAAAAAAAATGAAGAAGAAGAGAGTTTAAATTTCTATTTTATTTTATATACAGAAGGGACCGACTCATGGAAGGCTCGACTAAGACTATAAAACCCATGAGCCAAATGACCAAATCGAGCCGGATCTATGACACGAGCCAGCTCGAGTATCTAAGAGTCAAGCCGATCCATTGTTACCTGTAGCTGGGCTCGTGAGCCATTGGCCCAAATTTAAAGGGGTTTCAAGTAATTGCACTTTAATTTGATTTAATTAAAAATGTCGTTCTTCGATTTAACAAAATTTAAATATACTTATTGAAATCCAAACACAACATAGTTACCTCAAATGAAGTTTATCCTCCATTAGTTATCACATCTCGCATCTACCAACGGTGAAAATATTATTCACTGCTAAATCGTGCAATCTCTTTGATTTCTTTTTCAGTCTCAGAATGGATCTCCATTTTTATTCTAACTATGATCCATATTTTTACTGTATATTTTGCAAATATAATACGGAATCGTTTGTCTAATAGAGAGAGAGAGAGAGAGAGAGAGAGAGAGAGTGTGTTGTTGGGTTCTTACACAACTGCCAGATAGTCTCGTGTGATGTGACCCTTTGGAAACCTTATGTGGCGATGGTTTCTATGCAAAAAGAGCAACGTCACACAATTTAGCGCCCGTTTGACTTTCATTATTTTAAATTATAATTTATGAAATAATATATTTTTTAAAGAATGTATAATTAAAAAAGAAAGAAAATTTTGTGATTTGTATATAATATTATTTTATGAAAGATATTATGATTGAAAATAAGAGAGAATAATAAATTTTTGAGATAATGAGAACCAAACATGACTTAAAGAGTATGAACGAAATTGCCACCTATTGGACTTATTGAGAACCAATGACACAATTTTCTTGAATTGTATTTGGAATTTTTTTCTTTTTTCTTTTTTTTTTTGTAGAGTAACAACATTTTCGATACTTCCTAGGGTTGTCGCGTCACGCAAAGGTTAGAGTTCAATATTTCCTTTATCCAAAAAACCAATTTCAAAAGAATATGACCCCGTTCGGGAGGGATTAAAATTCAATTAAAATTGAAAATATGGCCGTTATTGGGTCCCACTCGTCTAATAAAAGTCAACAATAACGGCTATATTTTCAATTTTAATCCGATTTTAATCCCTCCCATACAAGGCCTGAATATTTGAAAATGAAGATCCAGAGAACCAAGCCTACAATAATTCAGATAGTGGAATGTCTTTCTCATCAATTGCAGAGCATAATCTTAGGCCCCGTTCGGGAGGGATTAAAAGCCAATTAAAATTGAAAATATGGCCGTCATTGGGTCCCACTCGTCTAATAAAAGTCAACAATAACGGCTATATTTTCAATTTTAATCCCTCCCAAACAAGCTCTATATATACTAATAAAGCGGTCCAACGCCAAAAGTCTCTTCAGAAAAATTATTTTATTGAATTTTCGAAATCAATTTCTCCGCAGATTTTTTGTCTTTCCCTAGTTCGCTCTGGCTCGAAAATCCTTGTCCCCATTGCCAATCTTTCAATCCCTTTGTCATTTACAATAAACACGTCTCGATTGTTGAGCCATTTACAACCACTAATAGTGGTAGTTGAACCACAGACCAGACTATTACCGACCAATACTTGACAACCCAATCGGAATCGAATCGAATATGGCGCTGCCGGAGATGGAATCCATGGCGTCGGCGATCGGACTTTCGGTGCCGGTGCTCCGATTCTTGTTTTGCTTCGCTTCCACCATCCTGGTTAGTTTATTCCACCGGTTTGTACCAGGTGGACCTGTGGCGCGCCATCTTTATGCCGCCACGACTGGGGCTGTTCTGTCGTATCTGTCATTTGGGTTTTCTTCGAATCTTCATTTTCTGGTGCCTATGTTCTTGGGCTACGCCTCGATGGTCCTGTCCCGGAAGTATTGTGGGATCATCACGTTCTTCTTGGCTTTTGGCTACCTCATTGGATGGTATTTGACTTTCTCTTTGGCCCTTTTCACAGTTTTCGATCTGTTGTTAATTTAAAGTTTGCTCGAGAATTTGTTGTTTTTGTTTGATGGACATTTGTTTGGTTTCTGGAATTACTTTTGTTCCGTCTGTTGGATTTATTTAAGAAGTATGTTTTCTAGCATAAATTGGTGGTCGAATGCATCGCACTTATGATTGAAGTACTGAGATTAAGAAACGGAAGACTGGAATTTGACACATCGTTTTGATATGGGAAATGCTCATAGATTCTTTCTAATTTTGATGATGCAAATGTATTTGGCTTGAATATGCGTCAGACCTTACTTTTGATAAATATGGTTGCACGAATCTCTGTTATTTATATTGTAACACTTGAGATGTTTATTCTTTCCCTGGTTTTTGGTTCTACAAGGTGCCACAGAATTTGTGCTTGAGTATTAATTTACACGCTGATGGTGTTAACTTCAACTATAGGAAGATATTACAATGATGGGAGCATTGGATAGTTTTTATTGTTGAAACTTCAAAAGCTGCAGTGGATGCAATTTTCATTGGAAAATAAGCAAATATAAAACAAGAACAGAACCATCTAACAAAACGATGAATTAGAAAGAACTGAGATATGCACTAGTGCTAACAAGAAAAATTGAGGTACGTGTTATACACAACACTAAATCCAAAACCAATGCTACAATATGATAACCTTGACCGGCAAACCAACATTCGGCTGTACTATTTTCAACCTAAATGAACTCACACACTAAAATGTGTATATGATAATAGAATATTTCTAGGGAGAAATTTTTTTTCCCGATATGTTTTCAATAATTTCAAGGGGAATGTCTATTATATATAAGGCTTTTAAAATTCTACATTTTTTTTGGCACGGATCGGTTTTAGTTAGATCAAACTTGTTTTGGATAGCTGAATATTAAAAAAGAATCAATCTGCTAAGAATCGCATTCTCTTCGGCGTGCGACTGCCTATGTGGTTGGTGGCGTTCAATCATCATAGTCAGCCATTAAGCAACCCGATTGGATGGTTTTGACTAGCCATATGGGCGTCACATATTCATGATTTGTCACTCTTCCTCCATGTCATGAGTACATGATCCATCTCTTCTTGCCTCGTCATTGCTGTTGCAGTTTTCATTAGGAAAACTTAAGGCTCCTTATATCTTCATGACAATGCTAAGTGCAAGTGCTCATCTAAATTGACGAATACAACCTTTGCATGCTTGGACAGTGCAGCGCGACCCTTATGGTGGTAAACATTAGATATAGCTTGGCGTGCCAATTATTAAGAAAACAAGACAATTTGCACATAACATTTTTGAAATATCTTTCTTTATGTGGGGATATATCACTTAAGCCTCAAGAGAATTCATAAATATTTCACAACATTTATTACCTCATGTAATAGATGATCTTCCAATTCAACAACTCATCAATTAAGGATGCGATCTACTATTAGTGTCCAACAAATATCCATAAAGAACAATTTGTTAACAAATTTTACTTGGCATTGGATTATATTAGTCTGCCTAGATGCTCCAAGTTATTGCCTATATATTTGATGTACAGAACCATCAGACTGGAATTACGTAATCGTTCGTAATCACTCATTTTGGAGATAATATGATAGTATGCAATAAGTGAAAATTGGATCCTGTACCTTTTGCCATGCTACAGATTTCTCACGATTTTATGAATTTGGGATTTGGTTTTGTTTATAACAAACAATTTAATTTGCGGAGAGACATTTTTCATGAATTTTTGATATGTTTAGTTTATATGGTCAATACCTTTGTTTTGTTAATTGTGGACGTATCGTATATAGGAGACTATTTCTACACGATGATGTATCTGAAGTCTATGCCATTTAAAACTAACTTCTGAATTGTTTACTTTTGGAATACACATGCAGCCATGTATACTACATGAGTGGCGATGCATGGAAGGAAGGAGGAATTGATGCTACAGGTTAGCACCATCTCAGCCACTTTCTTTGTTTGATTGTGCAAGTGTTTTATCATTATTCAATGACACTTATTTATTGTTGTGGATTATTCTTTTAAGCCATGGTGATATGCCAAGAAGAGAGATTTAAGCATTAGTTCTCTGAAATATGTATGCGATCGTATATTCTTTACAAGTAATTTGATAAAGGATTTTCGGAAGAATTGGCATTTTCCCTGCCTTTCATAGGGTTCGAAATCCCTATCCAAGCTGATACTAATGTACATATGTACTACCTGCATGGGTCTGCGCAAAGCTAGTCCAGTCCAATTTTGTTCCTCATAGATATGCAAAATTAAAATTAAGGGCTGCTGCCTCTATATATATGTATTTATATGTGTATATGATGCACAAATGTCTTCCTTCTGTCCTTTGTTCTTTAGACCTTTAATGATAATGGCAGAAGAGCACATATGTTACTTAATTTTCTTTTAATAGTTTCTGGAAGTTCAGACAATAAGTAGCCAGGTGTACAAGCAGATAACTTCTCGTGTTAGATATGATGGATTCAACTATTCACAAGTGTAGACCAGGCCTCTTTTTGTTATTAGAGACAGTGGATTTACCTTTTTGCCATATTTAGTATTTAGTATTCTTGTCATGAACAAAACAAGAATTGAAGATAAGGTATTTAAGAAGCCTCAGAAGCTCGATGCCAATTGTCTATGAGCCATGTTCTAAAAAAGGTGCAAAAGCGCCGCTTAGGCGTGCCTAGGCGCGACACGCGATCAAAACGCGTCGAATTCAGGAAATGCGGGAAAAATGCGTTTTCCAACTAAAATGCGCGCCTAGGCTCGCATTAGGCGCGCATTATCCCGCCAATCCTCCCCCCCATTTTTTTTAAATCTGTTTTTTTTTATATATTAAAAAATCTATTTTTTTTATATAAAAATATATTTAATGCCTTAAAAATACGAAA